TTTTAATGTAATATAAAAATAGAAATATATATTTAATTGTACTTTTTTAAAATGAAAAAAGAAAAATATTATTATAAATAAATAATAAATATATTCTTTTCAAACCACAATCAAATAATAAAATATAAAAGAACAGCTACTAACTATGATGAATGTGCTAACTACTAATATAATACCGAAAAATAGATCGTGTTTATATTACCTTTATATTTATTGAGTTTTATCTATAATTTTTTTTCCTAAAAGAAATTCAATTCAATTATTGTTTTATTTTAATAATATACAATTTCCTTGACAATAATTATTTTTACAATTTATTTTCTAGAATGCTCAGTGTGGAAAACAGGGCCAATATCGACCGTCACAAACATCAAAATCTAATATGTATTATTAAAAAAAGACAAAAAGAAATAAAATAAATAAATATCTACCCAAAAATCCATTTCAACTCAGACAAAATGAAATTTAGGTGAAATGAAAGTGTATTAATTTCAAAATTAAGATATATTCAATTAAATCTCAATTAATTTGATATTTTTTTTTAAAAAAATAATATTATATTTTTATTTGAATAGTAACGATTTTGACTTTATTTTAAATCAAAACCAAAGCACTTTGTGAAAATACGAGATTTGTTTGGTTTTGATTTAAAAATAATTTGTAATAATGTGTTAGATTTGAATTTTTATTTAATACTATTTTGATATGATAGTATATTTTTATTAAAAATACTATAAAATAATAAATATTGATTTCAATTTAAAATAAAAAAATTCCTTAATCAAATTCCGACACCTCCAGGTCTACCTGCCACACATAGTTCGTCTAACGTGACTTAACTTGTCAGACTTAATTTACAGGGTATTAGATTCGGCCGGAGTTTTACTCAATGCCCACTTTCGGGTAGCGATTGTGGATTCCCACGTTATAAATAATAATAATACAATCGAAAATATAACGATGGGTCTAAATGACCGAATTGTAAATTTTTGCTCAAATTATGAGTCTACATTCCAATGATAATAATCTTGCTGCAAGTAGTCATTGTGGTAATTATTATTATTATTATTATTATTATTATTATTATTATTATTATTATTTTAATTATCGATGGCATGATCAATAGTTAAACCATACTTTGGCAGTGAATAGCTGTGGTTTTGTTTTTGTACAAGAAAACTTGATTTTAACAAGAAACAATATTTCTTTTATTGAATCGAACAAAAAAATAGAACATAACAATGAAAATAAAATTCGGCTTAGCACCTAACACAACCTAGAATATATATCGGGTGTGTGAAAAAGAAAGATAGACACCAGCTTGGCCAAAAGCAACTTCTATTAACCGATTTAAGTCTCGTACACCAAACCCTAATCACAATCACTCGCATAATTAATTTTCACAGATAAAAGAAGAAATTAGCACACATCTCTAAATTTTACCTTATGAAACTCTAGCCAACAAATTAAGAGAAAAATCCTACCACAATATCCTCAATCGATTGCACAAATATATATATATATATGAAGGTAATCTTTTGTACCATAAAATAGAAAGAAAAGAAAAAAAATTATATTATGGGGCGACCAAAAGATCTTATCTATGTGAATTTTTTTACTGATGATTCGTGTATATTTACTTTATAATTCATATATTTATAGATAAATAAAATAATTTTTGATAATTGTTTGGTAATCTCGCAGTAATAAAATAAAACAACTACACAATCTAAAATTTTCATGATACGCAATCTACCTATTTTGACCGATTATATATATATATGTATGTATATTGTGTAGCAAATATAATTTTATGTCTAACCATCTTGATATTTTTAAAAACGGTGATTTTTTTTTTTTAACTTGATTAATATTTTAAGTAAGCATTTACTGCGATATTTTCTTAAATTTAATATACTCTTTTCGTTCGAGCTCTTTATGTCATGTTGTTTGAATATAAAGATTAAAAATAATAGTCTTATTTTCATAAAAAAACATATCACTATATAACTACCTTTATTTTTTCATTATTATTACACAATTATCGTTACCTTTTATACTAATACAGTTACAATGACAAAAATGTCTTTTACCTATACTTTTTACTCAAACCCAACACAACCAAAATTATAATTTTGGGACAGAGGGAGTATACAAATAAAGTAAGTAAAAAATAAAAAAGGTATATAAAAAATTAAACTCATATTTTAACAACTATTTAAGCAAAAATAACAAAATTAAAAAGAACATACGTTATATGTATTTTTTCTAAAAAAGTAATATAAATTTTTAGTTTGAACAGTAATTTTTAAAGATAATACTTCCTTCGTCTGTCCACTTACAATGTTTACGTACTTTTATTTTAGGACGTCCAATTACAAAGTTAACATTTTATTAAATGTCCTACTTTTTTTCACAAATACTCTAACTTTATGTCACATCATTATTTTTACACAAAAAATTAAGGGTAAAAATGTCATTACATTACTTTTAACTATTCACTATAATTAAAATACTATTATTTATTAAACACCGCCGCCAAAACTAAATATACACTTTGTAAGTAAACGAAAGGAGAATTATATAAAAAATAATTATGTTTTTATAAACTATTACAACTATTGCATAGTTCAAAAAAAAATAATAATAAATAAATAAACTAAACCCATCTCTTTTTACATATGAAAAAAGCCTAGTACGAATTATACACAATATCTAGTTTGTTTAAATAATGTTTTATCTGTTACACATAATTTGTTTATATTTTTTATTTTCGTCGTTTCACATAATTTATTTATATTTTCTATTTTCGTCGATCCACATAATTTGTCTTTTTTTTTATAAATATAATTATATATTTTAATTATATTTTAAATTTTAAATTTTAAAATTTTAAAATTTTAATTAAACTATTTAATTATTTTAATTTTAATGTATATTATCTTTATTATATAATAATTATTTTTATTAATATACTTTTTAATTATTAATAATTATATTTGATGTAAATTCTGGTATTTAAAATAACACACCCATTATTATATATGGAACAGAAATATTAAAGTAAATTAAAAGGTTAATATAATTGAATATTAGTAGTACAAATTAAGACATATTCTGATCCACAACTGTAGGGCCCACGGAAATCCCACTGACCAGACATCCACCCAATCACTATCCAGTTTCTCTCATCGTCTTTCCTCTTCAGCCAATAAGATAAGACCACGTGTCCTAGTGGGTCCCAGAAAATTCAAAAGTGTACCCCAGTTCACACAATCAAACCCTACGAAACATCGCACCATGATTTTATTTAATTATAATTTTATTTTAAACAGAAACGATATGATACTCTGTTATCAATAAATATACATAATTATTTTTATAAAAATTACATTAAAAATATTATTTAAATATAAAATTTAATTTCAACCCTAATTTTTTTTTTTTTTTATTGAAAAAATGTGTTTATCTTCTGTTTCTTTCTTTTTTTTTTAATACTCAACAAATTTGTTTGGTTTAGGTGCGTCTGTTTTGTAGTTTGGTTTAAAAGAAAAATTTTTGATAAGAGATATAAGAAATTGTATAAATAATATAAAAATAATAATATGTATAATATATTGTTTTTTTTTTTTTGGAAAATATGCTTGAATTTTTTTGCAAAAGAAGTTTGTATGATTATAATTTGAAATTGATTTAAAATGCAATATTTGTTTGAATTTATTTATAATATTTTGATATTATATTTTTTAAAAAAGTTATATATATTTTTATTAAAAATCGTGCAAAATAAATAATGTTGATTCAATTTGCAATCACAAACAAACAAACCCTTTATTTCTAGTTTTTATCTAAAATGATTTTATAAATTCTATTATAAAGAACAAAAGAAACATCTTGTATTTTAATAATATAGAAAAAAATAAAAATATTACACTACATTTTTGTATAAAATACTATAGGTTTATTTAGTTTTGATTTAATATTAAAATTTTAATTTAAATAATGTTTTAATATATATATTTTCAAAAAATTATATATTTTTTTACTTAATATATATATATTGAATAGTGATATTTGAATCTAAAACTCAAATTCTGTATCAGAAAATTTTTTAAATTTATTATTATTACCATCTTTCGAGCAACAAATTTAACAAAAATCCATAATACGTATTTATTCAAGAGAAAATATAAATATTCTTTCCGTCTTATTGAAAAGTTGACATTTTTCATTTTAGTTTGTCAAAATAAGATTACTATTTCTTAATTTAATAATTGTACTACTTACCTAACATAATAAATACTCTTATAACTTAAGTTATATTACACAAATATCATTACTTTTATATTACACAATATTAATAGGAGTATTTTCGTCTTTTTCACTGCAACTCATTATAATACTAATATTAAAAAATTTACATAAAAAAATAAACGATATCTTTGCACCGGGACGGAGGGAGTATTTAATTTAGTACTCCATTCATCCCACATTGGATGTCCATCTTACCGTAGAAATGAGAATTTAGGATAAATATAATTAGATAATTAATAATGTATTAGTAAAATTAATTATTTTATAATATAAATAATTATAAATTAAGATTAAGATAACTAATTGATTTTAAAAAAATAAGTTAAAAATTTTTAACGGGAAAATGAAATGGAAAAAACTACATACAATGTAGACAGAGTAAGTAGGACGGATGAATACTTAATTTAAAAATAAATATTTAATTTAATAGTAGAAAAAAATGGTGGTGAGCACTGATCAATCCAATTTTATTTTGGTTTTTTCTTAAAAAGCCGAAAATACAAATAACGTCGCACTTTGTAACAGTAAGCATCGTGAAGGTTCATGAAGCGAAACAGCTACTCTCATCTCAGCCGTTGGTTTTATAAAGAACGGTAGATAAATCCCCAGGCTCGCAAGTCCCGGGACCTCGCCCAATCTTCCACAAAATTATTGCACTGGAGTATGAAGAAATTAATGCTATAAACAACAAAAAAGGCAGAACCAGAACCCTGCTCTCGCATACTACACTAAACTATACTGCGATAACTGCAGATCCAAATCCAAATCCAAATCCATGGTTTCCGACAAGAACCTTAGCAACGCCGTCGGCGGGAAATCGGCCAGAGCTTGCGACAACTGTGTAAAGAGAAGAGCCCGCTGGTACTGCGCCGCCGACGATGCTTTTTTGTGCCAATCGTGTGATTCTTCTGTCCACTCCGCCAATCTGTTAGCTCGCCGGCACCACCGTGTCCGTATCAAGACGACGGCGGCGACGGAGACGGCGACGGCGAGATCTTCTTTTACTTCTTCTAACGACGAATCGAAAATTAGGCTGCAGGTTTCAGTGCCTTCCTGGGACAAGGGTTTCACCAGAAAAGCACGAACTCCGAGGAAGAAGAAGAAGAAGAGCTGTCGTGGCAGTAACAATGGCGAATTCGATTCGAGGATTGTCGATTGTTGTCGGCTTCCGGTGGTGCCTGAAATTGGGGGAGAATTCGATTTGGAAGAGGATCAGGTGTTTCTTAATTTTAGGGTTCCTGTGTTGGATTCGGGAAACGACGGCGTATTGGGAGATGGCAAAACGGCGTCGTGTGGTGATGAGGAGGAGACGAATCTCTTACAGAGGCTAATTCTGGATGCCGAGGAATATTCTTCGGCCGATGTGGAGAGCTTGCTGTCGAGAGGTCTTACAGATGAACTCCCCGAGGCTGTAATGGAAGGGATCGGGATTCGAATCGACTGCGAAAACGACGATGATGATCGGGTGAAAATTGAAAAAGAAATTGGGGATTATAATTATCAGGATAATGATAATGTGAAGGTCGCCATTAGAAGGGAATCTGCTGAGCTTCGGAATTTGGACAGTATTACTAATAATGATTCTACTACAACTACAGTATCCTGCGAAGAAAATAATAATAATAATAATAACAATAATAATAATAATAATAATAATAATAATAATAATAATGGTTTGGGGAAAATGTTCCTGAAGCTCGACTACGACGCCGTCGTTTCCGCCTGGGACCGCCGCCGATCGGAGCTGAATGCCGGTGGCTGCTGTCATGATATTTCGCCGGTAAAGACATAATTTTTATATATGGGTAATAATTAATTAATTATTACTGTAATTTGTTTAATTTTGTGGTGAATTAATTAAGGAAATGGCGGCGGGCGGCGGCGGAGGAAGGGAGGCTCGGGTGTGGAGGTACAGGGAGAAGCGGCGGAGGAGGTTGTTTGCGAAGAAAATAAGGTACGAGGTGCGAAAATTGAATGCGGATAAGAGGCCGAGGATGAAAGGCAGATTCGTCAAGAAGAGTTAATTAATTAATTTTAGTATTCTGCTAACTGCTATATATGGATACTGGACTATTAATTACTTAACTGATGTGACTGTGTGGAAGTAATATAAAAATAATAAATATATAATATATTAATTTTTTAAAAAATATATATATATATAAAATTATGGAAGAACATAGTATGTATATATATATATATATATATACATTGCTTTGAATAATATGTTGTCACCTGATTTATCTGAAGTAGCGTTATAACGGTTGCTATTGTTAGAATTTAATCGATAGACTTACATTTGGTTACAAGGATTTCATTTATTTTTTGGGGTTTGATCTTTAAATATAAATTATTATACTCACTCCGTCCCATAACTACATATTCGTTGGTTTTTTATATAAAATTTTAGAAATATTAGTATTATATTGGAATATAGTAGGAATAAAGTAGAAAAAACTAAAACAATCTATTAGTATTATGTGCTATAAAGGTAATGACATTTGTGTAATATATTGTAAGTTGTAAGGGTATTTGTAATGTTAGGTAAATAGTATAGTTACTAAATGAATAGTTTGTTATGAGACGGAAGGAGTATCAAAACGTAATAGAAATTAAAAAAAAAAAATTACAAAAATACTTTTATTAGTGTCTTATAATATAATAGAACGACATTTGTATAAAAAATTATACAAATATAAGAATATTTTTAATATGATGCAAAACGTAAATTATGACCCTTAGAGACGGACGGATGGAATAGGTTATAATAAACACTATTTGGATGTATAGAGTTATGATATAGTAACTACCAGATATTTATTTATTTGTTTTGAAAAGATTGATTCTTTCAAACTAATTCCAAGAAAAAAATTTAGAAAGCCTCGGAAAGGTATCCGAAGAAAAAACTTTGTCGCCATTCATTTGGATTCGAAAATTTTGAAGTTATTTTAAAGAGTTTGGATCATTCAAAACAAAAGAAATAATTTGTGAAGTTATTCCTTGCTTAGCCCCTCCTATCAGGCCTTTTTTTTCCGTCGGGCCTGGTTTGCAGGGTATTAGGTTCGGCCGGAACTTTACCCAATGGTAGCGGCTGCGAGTTCCTACATCATCCAAAAAAAAATAATTAAAATCCTTAATGAAAATCAACAGTGTACATAAAAATTCAAAATAAACATTATAAATTTAAATGTCAAATTCTAACAATTTCAAATAAAAACGGAAGGAGAACCATAAGAACGAGAGGAAAGAAATGAAAAAGCAAATTTATTTTAATGAAGTATATCTAATGCTAATGTTATTTATAATTCTTTCTATATAAATAAATAAATAAATAACTATTTATACATAATTAATACTTCCTTCATTATTGAATTATATTTTTTTTTTTTACCTTAATTCTAATAAAAATGTATAATAATTACTGTTATTTAAATTTATTTTTACTTTTTTGTCATCTAAATTTATTATCGTCCTTTTTTTTTAATAAAAAATACTATATTTTTATTAATATAAAAAATAAAAGTTTTTATTTTTACCTAATGCTACACCTATGAGTTTGTTCCATTTAAAATTAAGATTTGGGCCTTGAATCTTTCGAAATTGGCTACTGGTTAAGCATGGGCCCTTCTTAGCTTTATGCAAAAATTCTAAAATGGTTCTTTAATTTTGGAATTCTCAAATGTTCATGCATTTTTCTTATATATAAGTTTTTTGAATTTTTTTTTTAAAGTAATAAAAAATTAATATGTGATATAATTTTTTATGATAATTTTTTTAATTTTATTTTTCGCAATTTATATATTATTTTTAAGAAAAAAAATAGGCAGTTGTTGCAATTTTATTTATTTATTTATTTTTTAATGATAATAACTAATAACAATTTTTAAAAATATTTGTATAAAAATATTAAAACAATTTCACTTACAATGTATTTTAGTATACAATTTGTTGAATTTTGGTGGCAATTCCATGGGTTCAATTTATTTTGACGACTTCACACGTTCTTGAAGCAATTTTATTTTATATTTAAAACTTTTACATAGTTTACAGAATTTAATCTTGTTTGAAGCCAAAAGTACGAATTTTCAACTTGGATAAACAAAAAAATATTGAATTAGATATTTTTTTTATTATATTAAAATAACATTTAATTTCATACTTGAAACATCATACTAATACATATTTATATCATATTAAATTATTATTTCAATTAAAAAAAATTACTATTGAAAATAAAAATCTTACAAATACAAGCTATAAAATTTTATGTAACGAGAACCTTTATTCTTTTCAAAGTGACAGTGTTTGAAGTTTTAAAATTTTTTTAAAATAATAAAAAATAGTGTTTAATTTTGATATTTTATAAGAAAAAATAAATATTTGATTATATGTATAATTTTGAACAAAAATTATGTTGATGAATAATTAAAAATCTCAACAAGTTATTTAAAAAAGGTTTGTCGTTGTTTGAAATTAAATATTAATTTAAATTTTAGTTTAAATAGTAATTTTATGTAATATTTTTTTGCAAATAAATAAATATTTTTATTAAAAAATTATTCAGAATGAATATTGAAAATCACAATAGAACAACCTCTAAATCTACACCTTATTTTCACAAATATATAAATTAGATAATAATTGATATGAGTGTTGATTATGCATATATATATATATATATATATAGATATGTTAGGATTGTTTTAGATATTCAGTTTTAGATTGATTAGATTTATATTTAGATTTGATCTTATTCATAGATTAAAATATTTAGATTTGAGTTTATCGAGTCTGTTCTGTATTGCCTATATATAGACTCCTTATTTTGATGATCAATAAGACAATTTCATTATTTCCCCTAAAATTTCTAATATAGTATCAGAACATATTTTTCTCATGCCGTAGATATAGCCCACCAACCCGTGTTTCTCCGGATACATTCAACTTGGATTGTACCCGGAGGTCTTGTGATTTTGAGATCTGCGATCTGCATGTGAAATCTACTAAGATCTGTCTTCTATCTATCATATGTCGACTGTCTGTCTGTTGCCTGCGTGTGATTTGCCATCTGTCGTTGCCTGTCTGTTGCCTGGGTGCGATCTGCCATCTTTCTTACTTGTTTGTTGCCGGAAATCTATCTACGATCTGCCATATGTCCGCTGCTTATTTGTCTGCGACCTGCATATGAAATCTACTGAGATCTGTCTTCTATCTATCATATGTCGACTGTCTGTCTGTTGCCTGCGTGTGATTTGCCATATGTCGTTGCCAGTCTGTTGCCTGGGTGCGATCTGCCATCTTTCTTGCTTGTTTGTTGCCGAAAATCTATCTACGATCTGCCATATGTCCGCTGCTTATTTGTTGCCTGCGTGCGATTTGTTTGGTGTTACGATCTATCTTGTTTTCGGCTCCGGTGGAGTCATGTGGTTTTCGGCTCCGGTGGAGTCATGTCGTTTTCGGCTCCGGTGGAGTCATCTCGTTTTCAGCCATCTCGTTTTCGGCTCCGGTGGAGTAATGTCATTTTTTTTTGCTCCGATGGAGTCATGTGGTTTCAGGTTGTGGTGGAGTTATCTCGTTTTCGGCCATTTCGTTTTCGGCTCCGGTGGAGTCATCTCATTTTTAGCTCCAGTAGAGTCATCTCGTTTTTTGTTCCGGTGGAGTCATCTCGTTTTCGGCTCATGTGGAGAGTCATCTCATTTTCGGCTCCGGTGGAGAGTCATGTAGTTTTCGGCTCCGGTGGAGTCATCTTGTTTTCGGCTCCGGTAAAGTCATCTTATTTTTTGCTCCGGGGTGGAAAGTCATCTCGTTTTCGGCTTCGATAGAGAGTCAACTATTATTTTTATTTTTGTTTTTGTTTTGCGTCTATATTCAATTTTCTTATCAAACTCAAATTGGTTTCTGTTATACCACTTGAGTTTGAGGGGGATGTTGAGATATTTTAGATATTTGGTTTTAGATTTAGTAGATTTATATTTAGATTTGATCTTATTCATAGATTAGATTACTTAGATTTGAGTCTATCAAGTTTGTTTTGTACGATCTATATATAGACTCCTTATTTTGATGATCAATAACACAATCTCATTATTTTCCGCGAAAACGACATGACTCCAAGGGAGCCGAAAACGAGATGACTCTCCATCGGAGCCGAAAACAACATGACTCCACCTGAGCCGAAAACGAGATGAATCTCCACTGGAGCAAAAAACGAAATGACTCCACCGGAGCCGAAAAACGAGATGACGCTTCACCGGAGCCGAAAATGAGATTGCCAAAAACGAGATGACGCTCCACCGGAGCCGAAAACAAGATTGCCAAAAACGAGATGACTCCACCGGAGCTGAAAACAACATGACTCCACCGGAGCCGAAAATGAGATAACTCTCCACCAGAGTCGAAAACAGATAGATCACAACACCAAACAAATCGCACGCAGGCAACAGACAAACAACAGACATATGACAGATCGTAGACAGATTTTTGGCAACAAATAAGCAATGAAAGATGGCAGATCGCACGCAGACAACAGACATGCAATGGACATATGGTAGATAGCAGATAAATTTTATATTGCACGCAGACAACGAACATATGACAGATAGCATGATCTTAAAATCACAAGACCTCCAGGTACAATCTATGTTGAATGTTCCCGGAGAAACACAAGTTGGTAGACTATATCTACGGCATGAGAAAAATAGGCTCTGAGATCATCTCCAACCCACTGCATAATACAGTGGGTTGTACAATCACCCCCCCCCCCCCCCATTTTCGCAAATATGCACAGCGTTACTCCATTTTTGGAGTGAAGTTTTTGTGGTGTTTTTTTATATTTTTGTATTTTTTGGGTGTATTGTGTAATTTTAATTTTTTAGTAGATGATATATAATTTTATATTTTAAAAAGTTGTATGTGATTTTATTTTATTTTTAAAAAATAATATATAATTTTATTTTTTAAAAGTGATATAATTTTAGTTTTTGGAAAGTAATATATAATTTTATTTTTTTAAAAAATAATGTATAATTTTATTTTTTAAATTGATATATAATTTTACTGTTTGAAAAGTGATAGAATTTTTATTTTTTAAAAAATAATGTTTAATTTTATTTGTAATAGTTATTAATTATAAATGTTAATTTTTAAATATGAAAAGTTATATAAAATAATGTAAAAGATGAATATATAGAGAATATACTTTTTAGAGTAAAAATTGAAGTTTATGGTTGGAGTAAAATTATTGTTATTCAACTGCATTTTTACGGTAGCAACTGCAAAAATGGAGTGGAGGGTTGG